GGCAGGGCCACGTGGGGAAGCACCAGGCTCCATCAGGAGGCACAGGGGAGGGGAGCGCAGGCAAGAGCCTTTACTGTGGCTTCTGTGGAAGGAGCAGGTGAGGTAGGGAGAGCAGGCTCTGGGGCATAGCGGCTGTCCCTAGTTGCTCGGTCCCTGGGGCACTGAGGGCAGGGGACAGGATAGCCTACAGAGGGGGTGGCAGGGTGTAGCTCTGGATGGCTGGGTTTGCAGATGAAAAGGGAGCTCGCCAGCAAATCCTTTACTGTCTCTAGGATTGGCTAGCCCTTGCGGGACAGTCCCTCTTGGGTCCCTGAGGCTCCAAGATGTCAGAGCATCAGATATACAGGAGATAAAAAAGCAGGTTAATAAATAGGGGGTAGCACAGATGGCCCTTAGTGGGCGGGCATCTGGGTGGAGGGTGTCCTACAAAGGGCAGAACAACGCAGCTCAACAAAGAATTGCCCTTGACCTGCCTTCTGTGAGGCTCATCCCACACAGTGATGCAAGTGAAAAGCCCCCGCTAGGGATGCCTGGGTGGCTCAGTCGGTTGAGCGCCTGCCTTCAGCTCAGGTCGTGATCCCAGGGTCCTGGGATCGAGCCCCGCATCGGGCTCCCTGCTCAGCGGGGAGCATGCTTCTCCCTCTGCCACTCCCACCTGCTCATGCTCTCTCTCTCTCTCAAATAAATAAAATCTTTTTTAAAAAAAGAACTTCTAAAACTCAACACCCAATAAAACAAATAATCCAATTAAAATATGGGCAGAAGACATGAACAGACATTTCTCCAAAGAAGACATCAGATGGCCAACAGACAAATGAAAAGACATTCAACATCACTCATCAAGGGGGAAATGCAAATCAAAACCACAACGAGATACTACGTCACACCTGTCAGAATGGCTAAAATCAACAACACAAGAAACAAAAGGTGTTGGTGAGGATTCGGAGAGAGGGGAACACTCATGTACTGTTGGTGGGAATGCCAACTGGTGCGGCCACTCTGGACAACAGTATGAAGGTTCCTCAAAAAATTAAAAATAGAAATACCAAATGATCCACTACTTGGCATTTACTCAAAGAATATAAAACCACCAATTTGAAAAAGATATACGCACCCCTATGTTTACTGCAGCATTATTGACAAGAGCCAAGCTATGGAAAGAGCCCAAGTGTCCATCAACAGATGAATGGATAAAGAAGATGTGGTGTATACATACAATGGAATATTACTCAGCCATCAGAAAGAATGAATTTTGCCATTTGCAATGACATGGAAAGAATTAGAGAGTATTATGCTAAGTGAAGTAAGTCAGTCAGAGAAAGACAAATACCATATGATTTCACTCCTACGTGGAATTTAAGAAACAAAACAAACCAACAACAAAAAAAGGAGACAAACCAAAAAAAAACCCCCAAAAAACAAAAAAACAGACTCAACTCCAGAGAACACACTGATGGTCACCAGAGGGGAGGGGGTGGGCGATGGGGGAAACAGGTGATGGGGATGAAGTGCACCTGTCGTGATGAGCACCGGGTGATGTATGGAAGTGCTGAATCTCTGTATTGTGCACCTGAAACTAATATTACGCTGTATGTTAACTATACTGGAATTACGATTTTTTAAATTTTAACTAAGTATTATTATATTTTATCCCTTATTTCATAGACAGTTTGGTCCACAGCAATGATCTCCCATATCCCACCCCCACATATATTCCTGTAAAACAGAATTCCATAGATGTGTAACTAGTTCACAGGAGTCCATATTACAAATGCAAAACTGATTCATCTTCAGTCCACACTCTTAGATAGAAATGTAGGTTTGCCAGAGTTTTGCTTTCAAAGATAACATGCAAGGAACATCTATGTGCACACATACTTTGCACTCACCTGGCTATTTCTTCAAATTTCTGAGTCAAAGAGAATAAACATTATTTTAATTTTTTAATTTTTTATTTTTTATCATTTTTTAAAGATATTATTTTTAAGTCACCTCTAGACCCAACACGGGGCTTGAACTCATGACCCCGAGATCCGGAGTTGCCCACTCCACTGCCTGAGCCAGCCAGGCGCCCTGAGAATAAACATTTTAAGAGTTTTTTAACATACGACAAATTTGACACACTCTACTGCTTGTAGAAATTCCCTTTTTGGTATTTTTTATTTAAATGATTTATGTGGGCTTTGTTATATTAACACAACGCTTCATACGAAATGGTATAAATTAATGTGGAGAAAATCAACACACTTAAAATGGTAAATATCCACATTAAGGAACATGGCATCTCTTTGTATTTATTCAAATCTATTTTATGTTCACCATTTTTTTAGAGGGAGCGTGGGGAGGGGGGAGGGGGAGAGAGAGAATCTTAAGCAGGCTCTACGCCCAGTGAGGAGCCCGACGCGGGACTTGACCTCATGACCCTGAGATCATGACTTGAGCCAAAATCAAGAGTCGGATGCTTAACTGACTGAGCCCCCCAGGTGCCCCACTGCCAAATTTTTTACTTTCTTATTTGATACATACTCTCTTCTACGTTAGATTCATGCCGAGATATTTTACTGCTCTTGAGAATGATACCGTGTCGCATTTATTGCTGACACACAGCAAAGCTGGTGGTTTTCCTGTCTGTGCGTTTGAGATCAGTCATCCCAGTGGTCCTGCCTTTCTTCAACTGATTCTTGCATAGGGCCTGCCAACAATGGTGGTCTGTCTCCTGGTTGTGACATCTCTGTCTTGCTGTGTTTTGCTTCCTTCCCCAGTGGCTGGAGCCTTCACCTCAACATCTAATTGCCGCCCATGACAAGCACCTACAGGGGACGCTGAGCGTGACAGGGGACGCTGAGCATGGCAGGGGGCACCCCAGCTGAGACATGCTCGCCTGTCCTCCCTCTCCGGTCCCCCAATCTCCTCCCCACCTCACCTTCCCCGGTCCCCGATGGCCCTGAGAAGACACTGCAGCCATGAGAGAGCCTCCCGGGCTCCCACCATCATCATCATCATCATCATCATCATCAAACCCAAAGCCCTTCTCCACCTGCTTCCCCTGACAGCTTCAGCTGCTGCCCCGTTTCAGATCTGACTCAGCCGCACTTGCAAAACCTGCCGATCTACCCTCCTTCCCGGGATCTCTGTCTCCATCCCCCCCGCCCCGTCTCCATCCTGGAGCAGGCTGCACCTGCAGAAGTGAGCAGGACCGGGGGTTCGCTCGCTGGAAATGCCTTACTTTAAGATAGGACAATGTTCCCACCGTGGTTCCTCATGCCTCCCGTCCTGAAGGAGAAGGGGAGAACTCCGCTCCTTCTGGATTCCTGCCCAGATTTCCTGCGGATCTCGGCACTGCCAAGGGTAACCTGTCTTTGCTGGGGTTTATGCTTGTCTGTGTCGACACATCACCATTTTATATGTAGCTGTAGGTCTCTGTCCCTTAATGTTGTGTTCAATGCGGTGAGCCCTGACTGTGCAAAGCTCGGTTTTTCCTCTCCTTGGTTAATGACTGTTCCATTTCTATTCTGTTTCACTCGGTCTGTGTGTCTCCTCATCAGGGAGAGCATCAGTCCGCAAGGCCCGTCTGTCTGTCTCCTTCCAGCCACCTGTCTGCATCTCTCCCAATTCCGGGGACACCCCGCTACCCTCCCATCCCCGGCCGTGACTTGGCGCCCTATTCCTTTGCTTGTGACCCCCTTCCTCAAACATTTTAACATCAATATCATGTGCATACTTTCTAACATCCCTCCCTTGTGCTGGCTAGCTGCCTTTTAATATCCAGTGCTTGTCATTCGATTTTATTTCACCTTGGTATTCCTCAGTTAACTTTTTTTTAACTTCTTATTTCCTAGAATCCAGTTTTTCTTTAATTTTATTCAAAGTCCCCAGACCATGCAATCTAAAATTCCAAAATGAAACACATTACAGGTTTATGCGCGCTCTCTAATTCTTGGAGGCCGTGTGTTCCTGATTTTCTGTAAGATAATCTCGTCAGTGGCACCTTTCATTTGGATTTTTACTCATCCTTCAGTGACACATGAGCGTTCCAAGTCTGAAAACAGAATGGACGGATTGTCTTTGTATCCTTTCATAGTCAATGTGTGTATGATTAGAACATCTCTCTTTCTATGTCTCTCTCTCTCTCAGTTCTTAACTTTAAAGGTTAGGTGCCACTTGAAATATCCAGGTGCTTTGGAAAATACAGAGACAGAATCACAAGTCATTTCAGCAAGGGTATAGAATACCATCAAAACATTACTGCTAAAAATATAAGATAAAGAAACTTTAAAAGCTGTTTCTGCTCTTTTCGGCCTGAGCCAAGCATGTGGTATGCTTCCTCCTTCCCAACAAACACAGCAGGGAAAACCATTACGGTTGGTGGCCTGGCTTCCCGTGGCCTCCAGGACGCACCTGCCACACCACAGGAGAAACCCCACACTTGACGCCGCTGACACTCCGGGTTTGGAGGTGACACCTGACCCCGGGCCCCTGCACAGCCCCTCATTCTCAGCCTGGTTTTCGTCCAGGTTCTGTCCCCAGCTGACCTGGCCGAGAGAAAGACCTCTCCACTCCTGCTCCACACCGTCACTGACTCCTGCCCGACCTGGTCCCCGTGGGGCCAAGGACGCACGTGCCCCCAGGCTCTCCTGCCCTCACTCCCCACATCCCTGACCCTGAGAACCCTGATCCTAGGTCTTTCCTGTTCTTTGACAGAAACCCACTTGGGAAGCTGCCTGGTGGCCGGGTTGGGGCGGGCGGGGGGGGGGAGTCCCCGTCAGGATCGAGGCACTTCCGTCTATCCTCACGTGGCCTTTACCATTTCATTCAGGACTCGGGCAGCCCATCTCCTCTTCAAGCATTCACACCTCCCTCTAAAACACATCCTACGAACGCCCTCTCTGAGGTCTCATTTAAATTTAGAATAATTACTTATTCTTCTAATACTCATGTATATTGCTTTAAACTGTTTTTTTAGCTTATTTGGGGCATCTCTTACCGTGCAGAATTCTTACCAGGAATCAAGTTGCTCAAGTACCATCCACATAAAAAATAAAGGCCTGAATCAAAGAGAATCATCCAGCAAACCCAGCCAAATGTCATGCCCATTTGTTCCGGAGCCTGGTATATGTTATCGCACTGAACCCCTGGGAGGAAGGAAAAGGTCAGAGTCAGAACCGCACACCCTCTCTCAGGGCAGCTTCAGGTGAGTGAGTCCGTGCGTTCTAGAACCCCAAAGCCAAGGTGGACGCAGCCGGGTCGAAAGGCAGGGCATCCCGCCGATCACAATTCCTCAAATGAATTGGGAGCCTGCTTCATCTCAGTGGATTTCAAGGAAATCAGGTGGAGTGGCTTTAACCACATTCGAATATCTAACATTTACGATTTTGTGTGTGTGTGTGTGTGTTTTAGTGTTGCTTTACTTCTATCTCGACTTGTTGCCTCACCAAAATGCATCTCTCCAGGGCAACTGGGCCGTGGGGGGTATTCACATCAGCTGAGGCAAACACCAGCGTCTCGATCCAAACGTTCCACTTGTAATAAAGACCTTCTCCTCCCGCGCTTGCAACAGGACCAACTGGAAACGCCTCAACACCTGAATCACTGGATCTCGTTTTACAAAAGCCTCCCCTTCCTTACCTGTTTCTTGCCCTTCTAGGAAGGTGATGAGAAACACTCCTTGTCCAAAGGCGGTGGTGGGGAGCAGACACTGCCCACGGGGAACAGAGAGAGAAACAGCACGTTAGCGCTTGACGGAGACCCCAGAAAACCCACGGCATTAAATTCAAACAGAGAAGCCGCAGGGTGTTCCCACCGAGCGACGCCAAAGCATCGCTCCGGGCGGTGATTTCAGTATCTGACCCCGGAAGACTGAGCCAAACGTCAGCCCACTCTGAAAAGTCTGATAACAAGCTAGTTTTTAATGTGGAGAAGAACTCTTTCTCTTTACTGCGATGCTTGAAATGCCATAGACCCGACGCACTGCATACAGAAATGCGTAACTCGAAACAGTGGAGAACAGAACGGAGCGATTTCTTGTTTTTTATTATTATGTGAATGCCCTGGAGCATGCTGAGGGCAGACTGATGGAACATCCACATGATTCTGCACTAGCTAGAGAGCCCACTGGAGGAAAATGCTGCTTTATTTCCACTGGACAGGTCCTACGTCCACAAAAAAGCCCACTGAACACGTATTTTACGCTTAAAAAGATCGTGTACCAGAGTTAGATTTTTTCTTTTTTTTTTTTTTTTGGCAAGGAAACATTTGAACATGCAAAAAGGAAATCCAACGGTGTATGCTGGAACATTTAAACAGATGGATTGAAGTAAAAACACACATGACAGGATTTGAAATTCAGGCCAGGTGGTCAGTTGGCTCTTTCCCTACATGGAAGGAGTGGGGGGTGGGGGTGGGAGGGGGGTAAAGGATCCCAGGAGTTTTAATGATTCCGGAAACAGCTAATGAACACTAACCCAAAATTACTGGTTCTGAATTATTGCAGGTGCAACATCAGCTAATTGGAACTGGTGAGCACCTATCAATGGATTAAAATCCTGATTCAAGGTGGCATTTCTTCATCGTGCTGTGTGTCCACGGCCAGTAGGAACCATGGAGCTTTATGGATGCTGGAGAAAAATAACGTGGCCTTCACAGAGGTATTCCACCCTGAGGCTCCAAGTGAGCAGAGAAAGTGACACCGTCCCAACAGGCAAGGGTCCCTCAGCCATCATGATGCTGTTCAGGGACAGGTGACCTCTGAGGGCCTTCAAGTGCCCCGGAGGAGCCTGAGATTCTACCCCTCCTTGACACCTCCCAAATTCTCCCTTAGTGGCTCCAGTCACACCTCCCAATAGACTGCAGTTGGGGAACCTGGCCTGACCTGTGGGGGGGAAGAGAGATCTGGGGCGGACCGTCCTCAGCCACACACGGGTCCCTTCCCTGTGGACAGAGTTCCCCGCGCCCGCCAGGCATGTCTCATCCAAGAAGGAATGAGTGTGTCTCTTCTATGTATTTCATATCGCACACCTAACAGAATTCTCGTACTTTTTCGGGAGGTACACTTTAAATGGATGAATGATTCCGACATTGCTAACGGAGGGATCTTTCCACTTAATGTGAGGTCATTCCTGATGCTTCAAGAAAAATGCTTAATTTTTGCTGCTAGAATAGCTTTGGAAAGCTATCTCTTTCCATCCAGGAAACAAAGAGACACGGAGGTCCTACGCTGCCTTTGGGGTACGACCGATTTCCAAAAAGCCTCCAGAGGAGAGTCCCTGTTACGTGAAAAGCACCAAATCTTCACGGGCTGCCTTCTAGCAAAATCACTGCAATGCCGATGAATGGCAGCTGCAAGGTCTGCCTCCGGGGGCCGAGTTAAGAGGAGCAGGTATCAGGAAGCCCACCTAGATCTGAAAATGACAGGCCGATGGACGGATGTCGCGACTGATTGGTTGGGTAGATACAGCAGTTTGAAAAGAGAAAGAAAAGACAGCCCACTTACCAGAAACGTCTGAATGACAACACTCAGTTGGTTATGGAGAACCAACAGCACTATGTAGGGCAGAAAGCTGATCATATACGCCAGGCTAGTACAGAGGGCAGCCGTGTTCGCTTGGCTGAAAAACACACTCAGGAAGTAACTCATCATGATGACCGACACCCCAAAGTCCAGGAGAAAGAGGAAAACGATACAGGCATTGCTGTGCGCGAAGATGCCGCTCGCTTTGAGAATGACAGCCAGGGCGGTGCTGCTTAAGGCCAACACGGCCAGGTTCTCCAGGAACCAGGCCAGGAAGAAGACAGTGGGGTGCACTCCCATCATCCTCATGTACTGTCAAAAGAACGAAACGCAGAGTTATCACCTGGATCCTTGAGAAAGAACAGATCAGATCACAGGAGAGAGGTGGCACTAGAAACTTCCATGTTGGGGCCCGCATGGAAATCAGCCCCGCACAGACCCCAGAGCCCAGCATCCATTCTGGCGAACGCTCCCCTGGGGAGGTCACGGCCGCGAGCCCACACAGCGGAGGGGCGGGGGCACACCCCAGCCCCCAGGTGCTCCCTTATCCATTTGGACTTGGCTGGTTTTGTTTCTTTTCCCCTTTTTATTTTTTTGGTGTTTTTAGTTGTTTTCCTTCTTTTTTAATCTTTCATCATTTTGGTTGTGTTGGTTTGGTTTAATGAGGACAAACAGAACAACGAAGAGAGGGGGGAAATACTGGACCTTAAGCTGTTCGAGTTGGGCGTCTCTCGTGTGAGTGTTAGAATGCATTTTGCAAAACCACTCAGCTTAAAGTAATAACAACAAAACTAATGCATCCGTTAAACCTCCTGTTTTCTGTCTGTAACATCGGGGTATCTTGGAGGGTGGGGCCGGTCACTGGTAAAATGAGACCAATTCAGCGTGACTGACCCCCGGTCCCCAGTCCCCACGTCCAGGGGCCCCGCTAGATGGGGAGAAAACACAGCAATGCAGGGAAAAAATCCGTTCTAAATAGGTGAACAACGTGGGAAACAGCAGTGAAAGTCCCAGTCAGAACTAAATGTGAACACTGCACTTGACCTCGCTGCTCCTTCACCTCAGTTAATAGGAGGCAAGAGGGTAACGTGCACCCATCCTCTGCGGAGGCCGGCCTTCACCGGGTACTTTCAGGAACTTTCACTCTTAAGAGCAGTTTTGATAGTATCCGGTTTTAACAATATTAAAACAAAAACAGCAAGGCGGCCGTGAAGCCATCTGACCATAAATCAAGGTGGGAAGTCCGCCCTTAGGTCTTTTCAGGTTGTAGAAAAACTGCTGATGGGCAATGCTGGCCCCCTTCTTTGAACCTGGTGTGCCCGTCCTTGGGCTTCCTTCCATCCCCACAGGAAACACCGGTTAACCTGGCAGGGCGTCAGGCTTCAACGTGAAATGCTTTCCCCCCGGGGCCCCATCCCAGCTATGCACGGGAACCCCGGCAGAGAGGAGGGCAGGCAAAACTGAGTCCGGGGGTGATATGCGACAGAATTTGGCTCCAAGGCCCCCACCGCCCCTGCTGGTCCCCCAGGCAAGCGGGCTTGGCTGATTACCTCTTCTATCTGGATCTCTCGCTCGTAAACCAGCTTTCGGACCATGCTGGCCACAGACACCATCCACGTCAGCATCATTATCAGAGGGAAAAAGAAGCCGACGTTGTTCAGAAATCTGCAAGGAAATAATCCCGTCAGCACCCAAGGGCAAGGAGAGTGGTTCTACCCAGAGTCCGGCTCACGCATGCATGCATTTTCACGTTGTCCTTACAAGTGACAAACCCTTTTAAGGAGCAACATCTCCTTTGGCCATTTCAACGGGGACGGCTGCCTGGTGTCCTGATTTAGTAGGCATGCGAACTCAGGAAGGAGACGCACTGGTTGGAGGTGCCTTGAGCGGCCACTGTCCCCCACCCCCAATCACTGCTGACACCTTCCTAGGCAGGGCAGGTGGGGAGAAGGACACAGGCCATTCACGCCTGACTACAACTTTCCCCACTTAGTTGGGACCATTGCGTATCTTCAATGCATGATCTCAGTTGACCATAGATTATTGCCTTACAAGATGCCTGAAAAGTGCCCGTTGAAAGTCTCCCTGTTGCGGGGCACCTGGGTGGCTCAGTCGGTTAAGCGTCTGAATCTTGGTTTTGGCTGAGGTCATGATCTCAGGGTCGTGAGATCGAGCCCCACATCAGGCTCCATCAAGGAGTCTGCTTGTCCCTCTCCCTCTGCCCCTCCCTCCCCCCCCGCTCCCGTGCGCACGCGCTGTCTCTCATAAATAAATAAAATCTAAGAAAGAAAGAGAGGGAGGGAGGCTCCCTGAGCCATGGGTTGGCCAAATTCATCATGGAGGCTGCCCAGAGGGGCAAGCCATTTGACTGGGCGTGTGGTCCATGATTGAACCGAAGAGAGAAAGGTCCTGTCGTGAAGGATCCTGCATTCGGGCGGGGGGGGGGGGGGGGGGGGGAGGGGGGGGAAGGGAAGCACCTGACATAAGCCAGGACAAGGAGATACAGTACAGCGCGGTGTCAAGCACGTGGAAGAACAGCTTCAGCCCCAGTGGGAAGGGATGCTATCTCAAACAGGGTAGCTGGGCAATTTATCTGTAGAAGAAGCATCAGAGCAGAGAGCAGATGAAGTAAGGAAATGAGTCCTGCAGGAATCGCAGGGATCTGGAGGAAGATGGCTCCAGGCCAAGGGGCAGCGAGTGCGAGCCCTGGAGGTGGGAGCATGGCGGCACAGCTCCGGAGTGGCCAAGGACCACGTGGGTTAGGAGATGGGGTCACGCGTCAGCTGGGCCAGATCCTGCAAGGATTTTCTACATCTGGGCAACAGTGGATTTACTCAAAGAACAAGGGAATTCCGCAAAAGGGCTCTGGAAGGGGGAGAGAAATGCGGAGGGGACCTATCAAGTGCATGGTTTTTAAAAAGACCACTGAATGCGGTGTATAGACAGAGACGTGAAGGTGGCAAAGCCCATGAAGAAGGAGTGGCAAGGCCAAAGCAGACATGCAGCAGTGTAGACAAGACAAGCGTGCCGGCAATATGCCGACCTGCAGACAGAACCATCTCGCCAGGTCCCTGTTGCAACAGCCCCCAGACCTCCCCTTCAGAGTGTTAGCCACAGCGCGGACCATCTGCCCTTCCCACTGGACAGTGAGCCCTCCCTCTGTACCTCCTCTGCTTGCCAAAAGCCATCCACACATTAGAAACCAACTATCTGTTAAGGAAACTGCAAATGAGTAAAAAAAGAGGGGGAGGGTGGGTTAACGTCTTTGTTTTCGTTCTTCTGTCTGAGACGATTATAATGAGCCATCAAATTGGTGAATCGCGTTTTAAAGCTCAGTATCTGTTAACTCCAATGCTATCCAGAGACACTAAATAGTTAACTCATATGGTACTCAGCATTGTGATTTTTCTGAGGCTTTTTAGTCCTTGTTTTTTATAGTTTCCAGTGCAAGTAGAAGGCTATAAAGAGAAAGTGTCAAATCCTATATAAACCTGCATATCTCACAAGCAATATCTCTTCTCCCAGACTAACCCAATTTACAGCAAAAAATGACTCTTGGATCACTTATAAAGTTAAAAACAACTAATACAGAGCTTATTTGGGGGATGGGAGGGGTTTGAAAAGAGTTTATGTGTTCATGAACAATGTCTTTTTTACTTAAAAACACTGGAACTGGGAGCCTGGGTGGCTCAGTCAGTGAAGCATCTGCCATCGGCTCAGGTCATGATCAGGGTCCTAGGATCGAGCTCCGTGTCAGGCTCCCTGCTCAGCGGGGAGCCTGCTTTTCCCTCTCCCTTCCCCGCTCCACCCCCGCTTGTGCGCTCACAGGCTCTCTCTCAAATAAATAAAATCCTTAAAATAAAAAGGGCACTGGCATTGACGGCTATTAAACTCTGTTCTTCCAGCAACTTGAGCCTTACAGAGGAGCCAGTAAGTATCCCACACAAATATTATGTGAAGATTCCATCTGAGTTACTGCCCAGAAGTCACACTGGGTCAGGATTCTATGTGTGTCTGGGGCTATGATGTGCGTGTCCTATGGAACACCCCCCCCCCGCCGCATCTTCATAAAGGAGAAAGTCATGACAGGCTTGCAAGTGAATAAACCCAACTCTGGAGTTCCTGCAGCCACTACCCCAGATTCCAGAGAACATCCAGAAGCTCTGCACGTACATGGCTGAGTGAGGCCACTTGGGAGAAATTGCATGGGATGAGAAGTTGGAATACACGGCTTGTGTACCTCACCCTTTCCTAATCCACTCCTGAAAACCAGTCTCAGATCAGTAAGAGAAGGGAAAAATGTTCATTCTGATTTTGACAAATGCTTGTAAGTACTTGAAATAGCTGCTAAAAATAATCAAGGTCAAGAAGGAGGCACACAAGAAAGCGGATAAGAGAGATGTCAGTAGCAAAACCCCACCCTCTGCAGAGCTAGAAGGTGCCGTCAAAATTGCGCCTCTTAGGGCGCCTGGGTGGCTCAGTCGTTAAGCGGCTGCCTTCGGCTCAGGTCATGATCCCAGAGTCCTGGGATCGAGCCCCACATCAGGCTCCCTGCTCAGCAGGAAGCCTGCTTCTCCCTCTCCCTCTCCCACTCCCCCTGCTTGTGTTCCCACTCTCGCTGTCTCTGTCTCTGTCAAATAAATAAATAAAATCTTTAAAAAAAAAAATTGCGCCTCTTAAATTCTAGGGGCACAATCTGAGGGTACAATATATAGAACAGTATGTGTTAAGTGGGTGCCAAGCTGCACGTTAAGGGGGGTGGTATCGCAAGCCACACCTGTGCCCAGACCCTATGGCCAGGGAAAGGAGCATTATGTGAAGACCACATGTATCTGCAGGAAGCGCTCAGTCCTTGTGGCCATTAACATCACCTGGTGCTCACCACTAATGGGACCCCTTGCAAATGACTGGGCAGGAATTCCCAATTCATTCAGAATGAGTAACAACCATAAGAACAAAAATCCAGCACATTTATATAAGGAATAAAGGTGGTTGAGTCCCACCGTTACCAACAAATGAAAAACATGTGCCCAAAAAGGTGGTCACATGAGGCAGTTGAAAATAGCAAATGTATTTTTTGCCATCAATGGAAAAATATTTAATAAGGCAATTCCATACATAAAAAACACCCTACAGCAGAATTGTTACAATTCGGTGACGAGGTGGCAAGAGAGCAAGAAGATAGGAAATGTGAACTGGGAGAACCTAGAAAGAAATAGAAGGGAAAGAGTAGCCATCAGACAAATGAAGATATAATTAGAAGAAGCGCAAGTCAAATTGATATCGCACAAAAAGTGGTACGGGACATTAAAAATTGACATAAGAAACACAACTAAAAAAAAACAGAAATAAAGAAAAAGGTATTTTTTTAAATTAAGGAAATTTTATGGATAAGAAATGCAGGGAAAAGAAATCCATGCAACTGAAGTCCCTGAAGAAGAAAAACCAAATGCTGGAAGATAATAAATTGGTGATGCTGGAACCCATCAAAAGTTTCCATGCAAGAAAACTGGAATCTACACATTGAAAGGTCTTACCTTCTGCCATGGACAATTATTCTAGAATGGTCAACAGTGAAATGTATCCCATTAAATTTATCGAATTTTCAAGTCACTAGCAACTTGCCAAAATTACCAGATCAAATAAAACGGGAAAATATCCAAGTGGCCTCAGATTGCTCCATAATCACATTTAAGGCCAAAGATAATGGAGTTATTTCTACAAGATACTTGAGGAAATACTGAGTCAAGGATTTCATATCCATCCAAGCTGCCTTTCAAATATAAATGCTGCAAAGAGTTTTAAGCACGTAAGAACTCAGGTTATATTATCTCATACGATTATCTTAAGGAAATTACTAGAAGACAAATTTTAGCCCACCCAAGAATGACCGGTAAATTACAGTGTAAGATAATGATAAGCAATGAACATGTGTTCCAGTAAATGTAAGACTAAAACAAAAATGGAAAATCAGATGACAAGATAGACTGCAAATGTTATGTTCCCTGAAATGTAGAAATGATACGACAAACAAAAATTGAAAGGTTAGGGGAAATGAATCAGATAGAAAGAATACGTTGGCGAATGTCAAAATCAGAGGCTATTTGTTCAACATTCACAAATGTAGACTATAAGCATAGGCATCTTTCATGGTACAAGAGAAGACATTGAGATAATATCAACCAAAATTGCATGATGGAGAAGAAAACTTAATGATGGAAGAAGAGAAATTACTTCGGTTTTTTTTGCATGGTAAAAACAAATATAAAGGGTTGATATTATTTATACGAAGTTGCAGTTATAAGGTAACGACCAGCACAACAATAAAGCATTATTAAATATGGGTGTTTTTTTTAAGATTTTATTTCTTTATTTGAGAGAGAGAATAAGTGGGGGAGGGGCAGAGGGAGAGGGAGAAGCAGGCTCTCCACTCAGCAGGGAGCCTGACTCAGGACTCGATCCCAGGACCCCGAGATCATGACCTGAGCCAAAGGCAGACACTTAACTGACTGAGCCACCCAGGTGCCCTTAAATGAGTTTAAAAGCAAAATCATAAGTACAGAAAAATACTTAACTAAGAACATATATACACAAAACTTCATTTCATGCTATTATACACACCTAACCTTGCCTCAATAAGAAGGTATATGAGACATACAAGAGAC